GACATAATTTCATCGGGTCGTGCCCAACGTGCAAAATGTGATTGTTGCTTTGGTGCTAATTTTAATGGTCCATGAGAATCAGTAAATGGTGTTTGATATGCAAAACGTTCTTTTAAATCAATATTAAAAAATGGTACATAATCTCGACCATTTATTTTTGATCCACGTCGTAAAACATCAAGTTCATGTGATGATAATTTAACTCGTTTATCAATAATATCTATATTTGTTTGATCAATATCCATTGGTTGTTGTTCTTCATTTTGAATAATTTCATCACGCGGCGGTGATGGTAAACGTATATGCGATGATACATTAAGTTCTGTACGTTTAAGTTCTTCAGCACGTTCTAAAGCTAAATTAAATAGAGAAAATTTATTAATTATCATTCGATGCTTCATTTTATTTTTACCTTGATAAGCAATTTTTTCAAGTTGTTCTTTTATTTTAATATTATCATTTGTTTTTTTCTCATTTAAACAAAGTGTTATAGCTTCTTGATAAAATTTAAAAGCAGTTTCATATTTTTTTTGTTCATCTTGATCAAGTGCTTGTGTTAATAAATATCGTGCACGTTCAACACCTTTTTCTGATGTATTCTTTAGATGTAAACTTGGTGTTGGTTTTGATTTTAAACTTTCTTTGATTTCTTCAGCACGTTTTATATAATCATGAATTAAACGAGCAACGTCATTTAATTCAATAGATGATGATGATGATGAACTTTTTGATTGTTGTCGATCAGAAACTAATTGTTCTCGTACACTAATTAAAGCTTGAGCAGCTTCAACATAGAAAAATACAGCATCTTCACTTTTACCTTTGGAGTCAAGATCAACTGCTTTTGATGCATGTTTACGTGCATCACTTTCAAGTTTAGCTATATCAACCATGAATTTGATTATGTAAAATGTAGGAAGTCATCGAGAAAAAAAATGAGACAACTTATGCGTTACTCATTCAATTTACGATTGGAGTTCAGCCATCTTTTCTAACATTGTCGTAGACAACCATGGCATTCAACGGATGATAGAGACATCTAGCTTAGAATTGTTGATAAAAGTTAAACTAGATCAGATAATTTATATTTATGTTTCCTTTCAAATACAATAAATTAAATAAATTATTTTAGCAATCATTTTGTGTATCGGTGATCTCAGCAGAGTTTAATTTAGAAAACAATAGAATAACAATTTTTTTCAATAAATAATAAGTTTATTTTATGTTCTCATAAGCACCATAAAAAGTTACTTCTTGGTTTATACAATTCAAGCCACATAAGATACTGGCAACTGTTAATTTTGTCTTGTAGGCATTTTTTCAAAAGAATCTACACTTATTCGGAAAATATAGAATTATAGAACAAAAATCTTGAAATATCGCCGGTCTATACGATCGATTTTGAAAATTTCATTTAATGTTACAAAATATATTTTTTAAATTCATGATTATTTTAATGACTTTATCAAATGAAAAATAGCTTTTTACTTTTGTTTGATTGTAAGATTAATAAAATACATACGTGTATATAAATAATACAAAAGTCTTGAGGGTGTGGGTGTGGATGTCTTCTGTTTGTCCAAAAACCATAACCACACCCTTTATAAATCGATGTTTTTTCAACGAAAGAACAATGTATGAATATATACTATGAATGAATTTCATTATCTAATATTCTGTAACACAAATTTTATTTTATTTTAATAATTGATTCAAACCATTCAAAAAATACTGATCATCAAATGTTCTTCGTTCACATGTCTATTACAGAAGATGTAAAGCTTTACAAAAGTTTACACCTGATCATTATCCAGTGGCAAGTAGGTGAGAATAGTCAATTAGATGATTGCATTATAGTTAATTTATTTATTTCAAACATACGGTTAGCATGATAACAAATAATACGTAAAAGAACATTTATGAATTTTATTAATTTAAAGATACATCAATGCTCGTATTTTTTTTGATTTACCTGAATGTGCATATTTGTTGATCTTTCATATTTCTGATAACATTATATTAGTCATAGAACATGCATACACGTAGTCTTTGACTCATGAAAGTAAAAAGAAGATAAAAACGAGCAATTCACAACACATAATTATAAATTTCTATCTCTCTGTAACAATGAGTCAAAAAAAAACAAAGCTCTCTTTAGAGATTTTTTATAAGGACAATTAATTTAAGAACGATTTCTTACAGATTGTTTTTTTGAATTATTAACAATGACAATACTTTAACGTCCTTTTCGTCTGTAAGCAACTGATAAATATCTTTGATGATACCTGTAATATTTTGTGACGTATATTAAACAAACATGAAAAAATCAAGTGAAATACTGATAACAGATGCAACAATGTAAATGACGATGATAAAAAGAACAATCTCGAAAAAAAATTCTTATACTATAAAATGACACATTATTTTCATCTATTTATAAACAATTCTTTTTGAAATAATTTATATTATAACAAACAATGGCGAACAACAAATCAATAACATCTGTTCAAACACATGTAACAAACTTTTCCAAGGACGTAGTTGGAAATCGACATATTAACATGCAAAGAATGCAAAATATCCTCCTTGTTTGGTTGGACAGCAACATGGATAATGATACTGCTGATTGTAGTAATATAATCAAGCAATTAAAATCTGTAATTAACAATATAAACACGTTTACGGATGGTGACCAGTGTATTGAATTTATTCAAACCATTGTCAACAATAAAGTATGTATGATTGTCTCCGGGTCACTTGGAAAACACATTGTACCTCGTGTGCATGACATGTCACAAGTCGACACCATTTTTATTATTTGTAACAATCAAGAATGGGATAAAGAATTGATCAAAGAATGGCCTAAAATAAAAGGAGTCTTCACAGAAATAACACCAATCTGTGAAGCTCTTAAACAAGCTGCTCACCAATGTGAGCAAAATGCCATTTCGATTAGTTTTTTGGCATCAAACAAAAAGTTGGTTCAATTAGATCCATCATTTCTGTATGCTCAGACTTTAAAAGAGATCTTATTAACCATCGATTTCGAAGATAAGCACATCAAAGAATATATTCATTACTGCCGTGATGCATTTGCCGAAAACGAGTATGCATTAGATAATGTTACAAAATTGGAACGTGATTATCATGATCAAACACCTATTTGGTGGTATACTTATCATTATTTTTTATATTCCATGTTCAATCAAGCATTACGATTAATGGATGTTGATATTATTGTCAAAATGGGTTTCTTTATTACTGATTTACATCGTGATATTCAACGAATTCATTCGGAACAATTTGATGGTGAACAATCTGATAAAACATTTACAGTTTATCGTGGACAAGGTCTTTCGAAAGAAGATTTCACCAAAATGACAAAAACTGACGGTGGACTTCTTTCATTCAATAATTTTTTATCAACTAGTAAAAATCATGATGTTTCTCTTAATTTTGCCAAACAAGCTGCTACAAATCCTAATCTTGTTGGAATTCTATTTATTATGTCTATTAATCCTACGGATTCAACAAGTGTATTTGCTTCTATTAAAAATATTAGTTATTTTCATACAGAAGATGAGGTTCTCTTCTCTATGCATACCGTGTTTCGTATTGGAGATATTCAACCAATGGACGAAAATAATCGTCTCTATCAAGTAAATCTAACATTGACTAATGATAACGATGAACACCTTCGTACGATTACTGATCGTCTACGACAGGAGACCTTTCCAAATTCGAAAGGATGGTCCAGATTAGGCGAATTTCTAATTAAAATGGGTCAGTTTAACAAGGCTCAAGAAATTTACGAAGTTTTATTTGATCAAACAACGGATGAAAGTGACAAAGCACCTATTTATAATCATCTAGGTCGGATCAAAGACAAGCAAGGAAAACATCTAGAAGCGCTCACATATTATGAAAAATCATTAGCTATCTATCAAAAAACACTTGCTCCCAAGCATCCTGATTTGGCTCATTCCTATAATAACATCGGTGAGGTGTATTACAGCATGAGCGATTATTCAAAAGCACTTTCATCGCATGAAAAAGCTCTTTCAATTCGACAGCAATCACTTCCTTCCAATCATTCTGATTTAGGTGTGTCCTATAACAACATTGGTTTGGTATATTATAGCATGGGTGATTATTCAAAAGCACTTGCATCTCATGAAGCAGCTCTTGCAATTCGACAGCAATCACTTCCTTCCAATCATCCTGACGTGGGTGTTTCCTATAGCAACATGGGTTTGGTATATTACAACATGGGTGATTATCCAAAAGCACTCTCATCGCATGAAAAATCTCTTGCAATCAAACAACAATCACTTCCTTCTATTCATCCTAGTTTGGGTAATTCCTATAACAACGTTGGTTTGGTATATTATAGCATGGGTGATTATTCAAAAGCACTTGCATCTCATGAGAAAGCCCTTGCAATTCGACAACAATCACTTGCTTCCAATCATTCTGATTTAGGTATGTCCTATAACAACATGGGTTTGGTATATTACAGCATGGGTGACTATCCAAAAGCGCTTTCATTTCATGAAAAGGCGCTGGCAATTCGACAACAATCACTTGCTTCCAGTCATCCTGACTTGGGTGCCTCCTACAACAACATCGGTTTGGTGTATTACAGCATGGGTGATTATGCAAAAGCACTTGCATCTCATGGAAAATCTCTTTCGATTCGACAACAATCACTTCCTTCCAATCATCCTGATTTGGGTATGTCGTATAACAATATCGGTTTGGTGCATTACAATATGGGTGACTATCCAAAAGCGCTTTCATCTCATGAAAAGGCGCTGGCAATTCGACAACAATCCCTTCCTTCCAACCATCCTGACTTAGGCATGTCCTATAACAACGTCGGTTTGGTGCATTACAACATAGGTGACTATCCAAAAGCACTTTCATCGCATGAAGCAGCTCTTGCAATCCGCCTACAATCACTTCCTTCCACTCATCCTGATTTGGGTACGTCGTATAACAACATCGGGTTGGTGTATTATAGCATGGGTGATTATGCAAAAGCGCTAGCATCTCATGAAAAGGCTCTTGCAATCAAACAACAATCACTTCCTTCTATTCATCCTAGTTTGGGTAATTCCCATAACAACATTGGTTTGGTATATTACAGCATGGGTGATTATCCAAAAGCACTTGCATCTCATGAAAAAGCCCTTGCAATTCGACAACAATCACTTGCTTCCAATCATTCTGATATAGGTATGTCCTATAACAACATCGGTTTGGTATATTACAGCATGGGTGACTATCCAAAAGCGCTTTCATTTCATGAAAAGGCGCTGGCAATTCGACAACAATCACTTCCTTCCAACCATCCTGATTTGGGTATGTCCTACAACAACATCGGTTTGGTATATTACAGCATGGGTGATTATCCAAAAGGACTTTCATCGCATGAAAAAGCCCTTGCAATTCGACAACAATCACTTCCTTCCAATCACCCTGACGTGGGTGCTTCCTACAATAACATCGGTGTGCTGTATGAGAATATGAGGAACTATGCAAAACCGCATTCATTTTATGACCGTGCTGTACAAATTGCACAACAATCATTACCATCAAATCATCCAACTATTCAACAATGGAGAAGAAACTTGGAAAACATAAAAAAGAAATTATAATTTCGTTCTGTATTTTTTTTTGAAAGTAAAATAAAACTGATGCAAAAAAAAATGTCTATTGAAACTTTGTTATTGTTGAAAACACGATATGAGCAGTAACACTCCCTGGCAAGGTAAACAACACCAATTGAAAATATATGTATTGAAGAAAAGACCTTCACGATTGCATTATTATATCTGAACAAGCAGAGTTTAGTTCTGTTAGAGAAGAAAGAAAAAATACTCAACAAAAACACAGAAGAATAGAAGGAGAGAAAAAGTTTATTTCATGAATAGAATGAATTATTCTTTTTGTTCTAGTATTAAAGAATAGTTCATATCATTGATAAGCTCATCTTGAGGATGGGTGTGGGTGTAATATTCTTTTTCTGTCAACACCCACACCCTTCAGGTACATTTTGTCAGAGGACGTTTTTTAAAGAAAAAATTTAAAGAATATTTTTTGCGAGCACCAAAACTTGAGAACACTTCATCAAGACCATTCTTGCCATGATTCTAAAATTCATTATTACATAGGAAATCCTTGAAAACGACTTTCTTTCCCAAGGAGAAAACATGTTATCCCATAGATATGAACATAATGAACAATTTTATACTGAGAATCTTAATTCGGAAACGTTTCGTTTAAGTAGGGGGCCTGCGCGAGGGTTAGTTATTGTGATATTCTTAGCATTGATCCATGACTCTACAGACTGACGAAACTTGAGGGTATGTTTATGAGGGATCCCCCTGCCGCCCTTAATATAATTTTTATAAAAATATCTTTTTTTACATCCGATATTTTTCATACAAGTAATGAAATCGAAGATTTGTCTTCATTTGGTGTTTGTTTGGATGTTCACAAAAATATCAATATACAAAAGATGAATTATGATCAAAAAAAATCTTCGAGATCAATAAACGTTATACTCAATTGATTATTTCGCTTGATCGTAAGATACCCATGTGTCTAATTGATTTGTTCATGAACTCTTCTACTATGGTGACTTTTTAAATCTTCGAAATAGGCACTATTTTCGATAATTTTTTTCGAAACTATTTAGCTTCTATAAATAATGTGAACGAGGTGATACTCATCATTTTAAATCACATACATAATAAGAATCTATGATGGTACTCAACGCTTGCAGACCGAAAGCACTCACGTTGAAATATATAATAAGATCACCATTGTCTAGCTCCACTACACATTCCTTTTCGAGTACATTCTTGCAGAAAAAGAAGAGCAATTCAAGCTTTTGAAAATTATATTTTTTTTTAACAAAAAAAACAAAAAAAAATCAAAGCCATCCTTAAAGAAAAATGAAACAATAATTGAAAACAGAAACTTTGATGAGCACTTACATGGTGACCTGTTCGTGGTTCACGGCATGAGCGGAAGCGTACACTCGCAAGGATTCAACTTCGCCACCCAGTTTTCAGGTTGAATAATCCGGCATGGAAGCAGTATTCCCGTTAAACGGATCCAGCGACCGGATCCGTTCCGTTCTGCCGGAAACTTGCGAGAATACTGCATCAGGAACCATCAACCAGGGATGAAAGCCAAAGCTGATAAACCTAAAATGAAAATCAACAAAGTATTATAAAATACAAAGATAGATTAAATATTTCAAAGTACGAAACCATTTTGAGGATGGCGTGTGGGTGTGATGGGGATATGATTGCCACGATGATAGTTATAGTATTACCACACTCATATATGTTTACACTGACCTCACGCTCACCCATACCTAAATCGAAGAATGATTTCTTTTTGGATATCTGTCTTATTAGTCATCTCAACAATTGCTTGCTGAAAGAAAACCTATATTTTCGAATACCGGCTTACTCAACGTTTTTTTCATTATTTTTTATAAATACTTTTTATGCGGACATTTATCTATCGAAAAAGTTGAAGAAATTCGTTTTTTACAAAACCACAGACTTTAAAATGATCACTTAAAAGACTTCTATACGTACAATTTTTTTGCCACTTATCCATGTTTCTGCAGCATTCGGTGGCTGCTCGGATATTATCTAGAAGAATGCTGTGTCTTCTTTCATCATCTGTGTCTAACGGAATAGCTGAAAATAAAATATTACAATAAAAAAACGTTGTGTTTAAATGCTATATAATTTTAATATAATACTCACGAGGTTGATATATATACGGACGAAATTCGATTGATGTTTCGAAAGACACATCAGCTGGAATAGCAGCAGTTTCTTCTAGACCAATGTTTGATTTAAAGAAGGCCTGGTAATCCCCACGAGAATTACCTAATGCTAATTCCTTTAAATCTTCAATTATTTTTATATGAGGGTCAATGAAGTAACGCATTTTTCGGCTTCCTTCTTTTTGAACCCATACAGCTCGTTTAACGGTCGATTGATCGGTGGTAATTCTAAACATTTAAAATATATATCAATATTGAAAATCCTTGCGTAATAATTTCTAATATTTAAGCAGCTTGAAAAAGAATATTACCATTAGTTGTACAAAAAGAACCATAATTCTTTTACGTGTGCTGTAACGGAATTATGGATAGGCAGCTCTACCACTGATTGAGTATAAATGTAAATGAGCTACTGATGCATACCCATCGTTGTGCCAAATGGAGAGCCATAGTTTTAGTGCCTTAGAACATGATGCTTATTCGGCTATATTCGATACAGCTCGAACTTATTTACTAGAGAGAGATAGAGAGAGATAAAAAAAGATATAAGGGGTGTCATTCAAAAGGACATCCGTCACTTCTGCTAGTACATGTGCCTCAGCAATGAAAAGAGTATTCAATTGATGACAGATGGCACCCCATATTGCTGGTTCAACAGTTTACGTATAACTAACAATTTTCTCATAAATAAACATGTTAAATATAGTATTAGAATAGAAGTGACAAAGCATTTTCTAGAAATATCTCACAATAAATACAAATATACTAAACTGAACGAATCATATCAGTGAAGACTCATTTCAATACTGGAACTTATTTACTATTCGACTCACTACATTCAAACGACGGTGGGTGTGGGGTGAGTGTAAGCATATATGAGGCTGATAGTACTATAACTATCATCATGATAAACATATCCCTATCGCACCCACACTCTCAAGAGCTTATCACCAGCATCATCAACACCACTATCACCACTACTTTCCACCTTACTTTACAACAGAGCACCACCAGTCTCAATGGCGTAACTGAATTTTTAAAAACATTTGCTCGATATTTAGCTTTTTTAGGTACAATCATTCTATCAATCATCGGTTATTATGGCGAAAAAGCTGTAAGAACAACGGACATTTGAAAATAAGAACTATTTGAAATTACAACATGCGCTTAATAAACATATTGTTATTTTTAGTGGCCGTGGTTCAAGCCGAAATCACAAGCTCAATATCAACATCGTAGAGGCATCGCCCGACGTAAGAAATTAACTACCTTTTGTTGATAATCACATCTTTTTTTTCTTTTTAGAAAGAGAGGTAACCCTCGATTTATTTGTTCAACAGTCATATTCCACCATTTATTTAGAAGCTTTGCGTTTTTTTTCTTGTTAATTATTTTTTGTTCTTGCTCTTTTTTCTATTTAATAAAATTCCACTTATCTTTTATAGTGATCTTCATATTACTAGTAGTCATATAAGACAAAAAAAGTAGAATACAAATATCAATTAGAAATCAGACACTACTTTTAATTTTTCTTTTATAAATACTCTTTAAAATGTCATTTTCATACGTCTTAATTTATCTGTGGATAAAAAGAAAAACAACACCCTTCCCACTCAGATACTAAAACTTCTTGAGAAAGTAGTTTCAAACGAATAGTACGGATTTCTCTCTCTCTAGGAGCGCTTCATGTCCGTATCTCTTTAACATTCTCATTGCGTATCGTTTTCTCATTTCGCACACTTCTTTATTCGCAGTCTCGCACTTTCTCCTGGCAGAATTTCTTTCTCTCGTAGTGGTATATGTCTTCCTCTTATCCTCCTCTGTTCCACGCTCACTTGCTTCTACCCACCTCCCTGTCGCTTGTCTACCTTCTTCTTTCTGCTTTGGCCCTCGTCAATTCTACCCCACCACTCTCTTTTTCTGTCTCTGTTACCTTTCTCCTTCGAACATCCTCACGTACTTCTTTCTGTCATTTATCTCTCGGATTCTCGTCGTTGTCACTCTCTTTCACTGAAATGACATTCCCTTTCTAACTTGCAATCATCTCGTCCGTAACTCATTGTAATTATACAAATAAGGTGTGCAATCGATAGTGCTCATCGAGTTCTATCTTGGATTGCCATTGGTCTGACCTCTACAGAGGGTCAAAAATTAAATTAGTAAATATACTAGTATACAATTACTAACAAGACTTTTTCTCCTCTATAATATATCGAAATTTAGAAAATGAAATATGCAATCGATAGAGCTCGTCGAGTTCTATCTTGGACTAGCATTAGTCAAACTTAGTCTAATCTTCAAAAGGGTGGAGGTGGGTGTGGGTGTGGGCATAATTACCGATATAGTGAGAATATAGCACCCGCAACCACACCCTTGTAGTTTCTACTAACTATAGACACAAGATAAGACTCCTACTATTGCAAGATATCACATATATTTGTTGGATTGATATAAAATCTTATAAACATTAAAAGTAGTAGCATTCTTGTTTGTGGTTGTTACCGTTAGTAATGATTTTCATCAATCAGTTATTTTCGGTCCTATATTTTTTGAAGTCATTCATCTGCATTAAGATCGTTTTCTTTGTCGTAAACGGTGAGTGTGGTGAGTGTCTGTATTAAAAATGTGTGAATGATGAAGTGAAATCAAGAGAAAGAAGAACAAGTATTGTTGTTACTTTATTGATTAGCAGAGCATTGTTAAGATGTTCTACTCCTTCATCACTGATTTTATTGTTATAAAGATTGAGTGTGGTAAGTGTCTGTATGAAAAGTGCGTGAATGATAATGTGAAGTGAAGTGGAGTGGAAGAAGAACAAGTATTGTTGTTACTTTGTTGATTTTT